TTAAGTGGGGGCTGGTAAGGGAAGACGGATTTTTGCTTCCATCCCCCTCTAAACACCTGCTACCTGAATTCAGAGCCTTATCACCTCTGGTCTGAATGGTTGCAAAGTTTCTAAATTGTTCTTTCTGCTTCCAGCCTTTTCTTCTGCAATATATTCTCTGTGCTTCTGATAAAAGTCTTCCTGTGGCACTCCCCAGTCCCCTAACTTTCACTGGCTCCCTATTACGTCTAGGATGAAATGCAAACTCCTGGCTATGGCATTTAAGGCTCTCCATAATTTGGTCCCAGTCCTATTTGGTATTACTCCCCACTCATACATACTACACTCCCAGCACAATTGAGTGACTGAGTATCGGCTGAAGTGAACATTCTATCTCTTACTTCCCTTCTTCTTCCTTCAGGCCGTTGTCTCATGACTGGAATGGACTTCATCGCTGCCTCCCAGAATCTTTAGCTTCTTCTAAGTCTGCACAGGGGACACCTCCTCCGTGAAGTCCCTAACCTCCTCAAACTATCTTATATTAGCTTACCTACATCAGTAGGATGTCAACTCCTTGAAGGGAGGAACTGTCCCAATGCTGTTCAGTTTTTGTGTGTTTGCATCAAAGTCCTATGTCCTGTACACACTGAGCATGTGTTTGAATTTGATTTAAATGAATTCTTTTACTTCAAGTCTGTGTTTTACAATTTGAGTGTGGACTCTTCCGACCACATTCTCCAACCCCATCTCCCCAGTTCTCAGAAGGTTCTCTAATATTTCAAGGGAGTCAAGAAAATGAAAGCTTTGGGGATAGGCAAGAATGATTAGCATGATTTCAAAGAGCCCCACACTGACTTCTTTTTTTTTTTTAAACTGAATCATCTTCTGCTCCCCAATTCACTCCCAAATGGAGAAAGCACTGGACCTGGAGTCAGGAAGACCTAAGTTCAAATCCTGCTTCAGATACTTCTTAACTGTGTGACCCTGGGCAAGTCACTTAACCTCTGTTTGCCTCAGTTTCCTCAACTGTAAAATGGGGAAAAGAAAGGCATCTACCTCTCAGGATCGTTATGACAATCCAATGAGATAGCATTTGTACAGTGTTTAGCACCATGTCTGGCACATACTAGGAACCTAATAAATGCGTGTCCCCCTCCCCCTTCCCAAGTCCTACATTCTGACTTTGTCAGCTTTCACCAGATCATCTGTGTGACCTTGGACAAATTGGGCCTCAGTTTTCTTTTCTGGAAAATGAGAAGTCAGACTAGATGATCTCAAACATCTCTTCCAGCTTCACGTCTATGCTTCTATATGATGACAGCATCTTTCTTTTTCATATATATTAGGTTATTTTCTTGATGAACTTTCACTTAAACCTATCTTATTTCAAAAATGTTTTGATTTCATTCTATTTCTGTGAAGTGTTTCCAGAGATTTTTTTCTTAGGAAAAGAACTTTCTAAAATCCTAATCCTGCAAGCCCTATCTTGACTACCACACAAAAGAAATCAGCAAGTAAGTCATTTCAACTACACCTACTTTGCTATTAACTCCTTGGTAAGGCTCAGTGGCTTCATTTACTCATTCATTCAACAAGCATTTTTATGAAGTGCTTACATGCCAGACATTGTTGTAAGTGCCACAGAGGCAAAGACAAAAAAATGAAACCGTCCCTGCCCTCAAAGGGCTTACATGCTTTTAAAAAGGGAGCGACATGAACCCAGGGAAGGAAATACAAAATGAAGTAAATACAAAATAATTTCCAGGAGAAGGGAGGGGATCAGATGAGGCCTCCTAGAGGATCTTACACTTGAGTTGAGCCTTGAAGGAAGGTAGGAGTGATTCTAGATGTCAGGGAAGAAGAGGGAGTGAATTCCTAGCATGGGTAATGATCTATATATAAAGACCGGAGTTGGAGTATCAAGCACAGAGCCAGGTAAAGTCATTTTGGCTGAAATACAACATGCATGAAGGAGAGTAATGTGCATTAAACCTGGAAAGGCAGGTTTTAAATGCCACAGGCATTACATGCTATCCTAGAGATAATTGGAAGCCACTGGAGCTTCCTGAGTTGGGGAGTGACATCGTCAGACCTACTGTGCTTTATGATGATCAATTTGGTAGCTGTGTAACTGGATGGATTGGAAAGGAAAGACACTGGAGGCAAGAGAATGAAGTACTTGCATTAGTCTAGACAAGAGATGATGAGGCACTGTATGAGGGTGGCTATAATGTGAGTGTAGAGAAGGGGAGGTATCCGGAGACGTTGTGGAATTACCATCAACAGGATTTATTAATTAGGGTATGGGGAAGAGGGAAGAGTCAGGAAGGCTATAAGGTCATAAAACTGGAAGGCTGGTGGTGCCCTTTATAGGAATGGAGAATTTAAGAAGGGAGAGGGCTTGGGGGGATGGAGGGAAAGATAATGAGACCTGTTTTGGACATGTTTCACTTAAGGTAGTTTGGCAGCCAGTTTTCGGTAGTCCATTAAGTAGTTTTCGATCTGGGACTAGAGTTAAGGAGAGATTAAGACTAGATAGCTGGAGCTGGTAATCATCTGCATAGAGATGGTAACTGAACCCTTAGAACTACAGAGATCAGCAAAGAGAATGTAGAGATAGAAGAAAAGACCCAGAACAGAGCCCTGGTTTGTTCAAGTTCTGACAATATTTAATGACTCCTTCCCCACTGACACATAAGAATAAAGATCTCAGGATGATGAACTAAAAAGGGTCAATCAAATCACCTAGAGGTGAAAAATCATAGTAATTAACACAAGGCATTAGAGTCTAATAAATTCAAAGAAATGAAATTTATCCTCCTAGAACAGTATTAAAGAATTATACATCAGACAACAACGTCCATGATCTTTTGGGGGGGGGGGGAAGTATGCTAATTCCATCAAAATGAAGAAAGAAAAGAATTGTAGGATATAAGACCACAATTCTACAATTTAAAGGGATGAAATACAAAATTATTTTTAGAATATGATTAGTAGATATAATAGAGCCCTAGTCCCAAAATGAGTGTTTGTTTTTAAATTAAACCATCCTCCTCCACTGTGCTGCCAGGGTCATGACTTTAGATGTCAATCCTGACATGATCCCCATTTCACAGAAATCACCCACAAATCCAAATCACATGACAATTATTTTCATAATCTCCCATAAATGCAAAAGTACCATTCATTGATATTAAATTAAATGCAGTTCAAAAATCCAACTGGAATAGCACAAATTTAACCCTACAGTAACTGTAGGTTCCAAAGGACACAAATGTTTTTAATTTTTAAAAAATTTCACCTACAATGTCAAAACAGCATCCCAAAACAATTTGCAAAGGAAAATCAAACAATTAAGTAAGCTAGCAACTTGTTTATATTTTTGAGTCAAATTTCACTAATGTAAATACCACAGACAAAAAAAACCAACCACAAATATTTGACAACCAATAAAAGTAACTCAAACTACTCAATCAATGTTATTGATTTGTATGCCTGAAGGAAAGCAATAGCTTTCATTCCAATCAAGTTCCATGGAAACATCTATCAATAAAAATGCCCAGAGTAAAACTCTTTCAGCCATCAAAAATAGAGTTAGGTGTATTTCTTCAATTCCACAGTATATGCCTCAGGTAGATAACCCATAATCGCTCCTCTCTACCCTTCACAATCCAAACAGATGACACAGCAAAAATCAATTTCACAACTGCCCATTATATGCAGTTTCTACTATGGTCAGTTTCCCTGGATCCTTGTAGAAGTCCACAACTGGGTCAGAAATACTCAGAAGATGTTTTGCAGGCCCAGCTAAACAGAGAATCTCACCCTTGGTTCAATTCCACTCCCTCAGAGTTGTGTTTTGTTCTCTCCCCAATACTACCACCCCAACCCCCAACAGACGTCCCACCCTCTCATTTTATCAGCAGCTAACAATAAGCATCATTTCAGTGGTGGGATGGGTGGGGGCAATGCTTGTTAACTGTGTTTCCGGGCTGGCTGTCCTTGCATTCCCCTTGGTTTTCAGAAATTGAGATCCTCATCTTTTCAACACAACTTTGGAAAGCACTTGCCCTCATCACAGTCCATCAACTGGGTTTTTTTTTCTCCCCCTTCCTTGCTTTGTAGCATTTGAAACATTTATTTTTACGTTGCAGACCGAAATGGAAAATTAAACTGAAACCATAACAAAGTGAAGAGCTGTTAATAGTACTTTTTAAAAAGCAGAAAATACATCTCTGCCCTCTACCTTCCTCAACCAAAACAACAGTGTTGTTTTGCTTCTCTCTTCCCTTTACAAAAATCCACGTTAAAGGCAAAAAGAAAACCGAGAAAAGAACTGAAGGTCTCAAATCTATCTAGTCAGGTTAGAAAAAAAATTGTCTAACTGTGATCTTTTGGATTCAAGGATAAGGAAATTTACAATTGTATGACGAGTTCTTTTCAGAAAACCTACTCATCTCTTCCTGTCATTTAGTGATTAGAGACCTTATCCCATGCAATGCATCCATTTCCCAGAAGCAACTAATAAACACAACAAATCCTCACTAACTACTTTTCCCACTCCTCCCTACCCAGACTGGTTGCCCTGCACGCTTTCACATTATCCCCATGCCTTGAAAATGCAATGGAAAACCTTCTGAATCTGTCACCTGGCCCAGATTAGCATCTCAGGCAGCACATACAGACAGGTGTAGGCCATGACTCCTGATAACACTGGGTCACTACCTGCCCCCCAGGCTGGTCCCTGGCTGAACCAGAGGCAGTCTTCACAACGCGTTAGCAGCTGAAACACTCCTCATCACCTTCCCCCGGGCCCTTCCTGCACTAAGGAAACGCCATCTAGACTGGGACCCTCATCCAGCCAAAGCATTCATTCTCCAGTCTGTTCTTTGGCTGGATACCTTCTTCAACCCACCACCGGTAGTCTTTCTCTCTGTCCCCTTCTGAGAAAAAAGAAAACCCCAGCTGGCCCTTGTCCCCTTCCTGTGGTAGGCTGAGGTCAGTGCCATCATGCTACTTACCTTGATGATGCTACTCCTGCGGGGGATGCCGCCTGGCTTGTTCTCCCGCCCCATTGCTGGGGTCCCCAGGGTAGGGTGGTTTCCTCGAGAAGGGCTGATGGGCTTCCCGCTCCTGGGGTCCTCCCCTAATACCCCCAGGGTGCAGTCTCCATTGGAAACCCCACTGCTGCTGTCATAGCGTGCTCTCCCCGAGCTGACGCCACCGTCACCACCTCCGCCACCTCCTCCTCCTTCTCCATCTCCTGCTTTAAAGGCTACCTTTCCAAAGACAGGTCCCGGGGAGGCAGGCAGGCCCCCACCGCTGCCCGCGGCCCCCCGGTCAAAATCTGCCATCAGTCCCCTCTGGCAGCCGCAGCCCAGGACAGGGAGGTCCTCTTCTCTCACTCCTGCTGCTGCTCAGGGGCTGCTGCCGCTGCTGCTGTGGCCTCAGCCCCTCCTCCTCTGACTGCTGCTTCCACAGCTTCTTCCGCTTTTCTTTTTAATTTAGATTTAAAATGTGTGTGTTTTCGGGTCTGCCTCCTGCGGAGTTACAGACCTGGAGGCTGAAAAAAAAGAAAAAGAAAAGAAAATGTCTTCGTTGCTGTTCGCAGCAAATCTCCGGCTTTCAGCACCTGGGAGAAGAAAACAGTCCCTCCACACACTCAGGGACACGCAGGCAGTACATGCAAAGCTGACCATCTCTCCTTGCTGCAGGCTCCAAAAATAACACCATCCCAAATGCTACACTTTCCACTCTCATCCCCACCCCCACCAAGGACAGGAGAAGAGGGGCTAAGGAATCCCTGCCGCCTCCTTTCTCCCCCCTTCACTCACACGAGCCCAGCACACACGCACACGCACACGCACACGCACACACCCGCCTCAGATGCTCTTGCCCCCTCTCCCAAGCCTGTGGCAGGCATTTCTGCAGAAAGACATCCCAGCGGCTGCTGCTGGGGCTGGTGTCTCCCCATCAACCGCAAGGCTCGGGGTAAACAAACAAACTTACAAGGAACACATCCTTGAGAGGCGGCTGGGGCCACAGGAGAAGAGGCTGCCCCTTGACCTTCCGACACCCCCTCTACTCCCAGACCTGGATCCCGGGTCTCCCCCCGACCCCGAGGTGGGCTGGAAGAGAAATGGGCGGGGGGAGGGACAGAGGAGGGACTGCCCTGCCCGGGAGGGACTCGCCCGGGGACTGGCTGCTGACGGGGAGTTTGCTCACCGCAGTGACATTTGTAGGGCGCCTGGCCTTGGTCGTGTCCGTGTCAGTGAGACACACGGCAGAGAGCAGAGAGACAAGGCGGAGGCTGGGGCACTGGGCCGCTGGGGGAACTTTCGCTCGGGGCATCGGCGTTGGGGGCGCCAGCCCTGCTGCCCTCCACTCCCCAGCCCTGCTCCCGCAGCCAGCCCTCACTCCCTAGGCGCTCTCTCCTAGACGCCTCTCTATAGACTCTTCGCTGCCCCCTGCAGCCACTACGCAGTCCCAACTCAGGGACAGACAGGCAGGCAGGCAGGCAGCAGCAGCGTGCCTCCTGTCCCGGGGGCTCCTCAGCCCTCCCCCAGCTCTGCCATTGTCAACACCTCCTCCGGTGAGCCCGGTGCCCCCAAAAGCCAAGACGTGGGGGGAAAACCGGAGGGGAGGTTCCTTCTGGAGATTCTTCCCAAACATTCCCATCCCCAAACTCAGCACAAAACCCCAGCGTCCGGGGCTGCGATGGTTAACTCCCAGCGTCTCGCCCACCAGGGTACCACTCCACACCACTCGCCGCTAGCCGGTCCCCCTCTGCCTTCTTGGGTCCCAGCCGCTATCCCGTCAAATTACCCCCGGCCTTCAGTACTCTGCTCACTCCTGCCTGGCTCCTAGCGCACTCCCCATCTGCTCCGCTTGGTCCTCCCTCCTCCTGCCCCCGCTTGCCCTCGTGCTCTCGTTCCAATCGATCCATCCCCCTGCCTCCAGCCTATCCCTATGCACCCCTTCCCATTCATCCACCCCCTGGCAGCCGGCCTGCCCCGTGCTCCTCTCTCCCTTCCTCCTTCCCTCCATCCATCCATCCATCCATCCCCATGCTCCACACATCCATCCACCTTTCCTCTTCCTTCCTCCCTCCCTCCATCAATCACTCGTGCCCCCGGCCCCGCCCTCCCTCCATCCCCCAGCCCCTCTGCTCCCGCTCCCCTCCAGCAGTCACAGACCCCAGACAACTCCCCGCCCCTTCCCCGGCCAGCACCCACCTAGGGGCCGCCCCCTCTCTCCCCGCCGGCGTTCGGGGTCTCCAGCGTCCCTCCTCTTCCTCCTCGCCACCGTCCTCCTCCCGCCGCCGCCGCCGTGGCTGCCGCTGCTGCTCTCCCCGAAGCCGGATGCACAGCGCCCGGTTCATCTGGCTGCGGTGGCTCCCGCGGCTGCCGCTTCCCCCCCGCTCCTCCTCCTTCCTCGGGCTCCCTCCGGGGCGGGCGCAGAGGGCGGAGGAGGCAGCCCCTCCGGCGGCGGCAGCCCCAGCCCCAGGAGCAGCAGCAGCGGCCGCGGCGGCCCGAGCCCACCCGCCCGCCCGCCCGCCTCCAGAGCCGGGACGCTCTGCGCCCGCCCGCCGGCCGTCTGTCCGCCCAGCCCTCGGGCTCCCTGCCCCCAGCCTCGGGCCCTCCCTCCCTTCCTTCCTCCCTCCTCTCCTCCCCTCCCCTCCAGGGGCGGCGGGGAGGGGGCGGGCGCCTCCTCGTCCCCGCCCCCGCCCCCTCAGCTGCAGCTGCCAATCAAACAGCCCGGGTGGCGCAACGACGGCGCCCGCAGACCTCCCTCCCCACGTCCCTCCTTCTCTCCCTGCGCCCCACACCCGGGCCGTCCCCTCCCCGCTCCTCCTCCCCGGGCAGCGGGTCCCCGGAACCTTCTCGAGGAGCCAGCGGAGCTGGTTGCTAGGAGAATGTCCCAAAAGGATCCCCAGATCCCAGAGGCGCGTTGGCTAGAGTGGAGGTGTGGGGAGCGCACACGCCCCCTGCACTGCCCTACTGAGAGCCCCCCCCAAAAAATAAACTCCCAGCTCCTCTTCTCTTCCTCTTCCCCATGACACCCTTCTCCCCATCAAAGAAGTGAGCTTGTCATTTTGGGGAGGGGGGGAGCCTTTGAGCAGCTGCTTCTCATCCTTAGCCCCCTCCTCACTTTCCCAAGTCCTCCGGGTGGCTTCTTTCCCCACCCCCACCCCCAAGCCCTTTGGGTGTGATCCAGGCCGCGTTCACTTATGGCCAATAGTTGATACTTGAGGGAAGGGGATTAAAGAAAAGGAAAGTTTTTCACTGGTGAAAATTGTGAATTGATTTATCAGCACTGTAATCCAGTAGTACCCTTTGAGATCAGGTTTGTCAGGATTAGGGTACAGTCACTGGACAGAAGCTAACCATTCCTCCTGCTGAATGCAGAATATCCCAGCGAAGAGGAGAGCAAGGCGTGGACTGTTAAAACTTCCTTAGTGTTGCATGTACAGATACACAAAAGCCACAAAACAGAAGTTCTTAACCTGGGGTCCATAAACTTGGAACCTGCACTATTTTGGTAACTATTCCAATAGAATTGGTTTCCTTTTAATCCTATATATTTTATTTATGCACTTAAAAATATTCCAGGAAGGGGTCCATAAGCTTCACCAGACTACCCAAGGGGTCTATGCCACAAGAAAGATTTAGAACCTTTGCAATAAGGCCAAAACAAGCACGTAGCTAACAGTATTTTCTCCTGTACATCTCATACCTCTGAAGCATCATATGGAGCAGAATCCACAGGACACCCAAGAGGCATCTCATATTAAGAAGATAAAGAGCTAGCCTGAAAAAACTGGGTTCAAGCCTGACCTCTAACACATTGGCTTTGGTATTCTGGCCAAATTATTCAGCCTCTCCAAGCTGTAAGTTAAGTCTCTAAGATTATAAATTGCAAAGAAGACACCCACCTGCATCAGTAGAGGAATTCTCCCCACCTGGAATTCCCTATATCAGTGAAATCTCAGTTCCTGTCCCTGTCCTTACACCACTGTGTAAAGCTTCTTGCCCTGGGATTGATCGTAATCAAGTTTGATGTTTTAAAAAACAGCAACAGGTTAAAGAGAAAAATAGCGAATTGAGGGTTACAAATTCAGTTTATACCAGGGGCTACACAAAAGCAAATTAAAAAAAAACTTTTGGCAGATTATAATTTAGTGTATCTGTGTGGTCTGTTTATTTTCATCCTCCTCTTCCTGCTGCCCCCTACCCCTTTGTTCTAGTGTTCATGGGAATTAACTTGGTGAAATTGTCTCCTGGTTATCATTGACTCAGGCTTATGAAGGTATATTCATGGCACATCCAGGAACCAGAGGGAGAAGCATGATGGAAAATATTTGAGTAAAGGTCAAAAGAGAGAGAGAGAAACAGATGATTTTGTCATTGGAGTATCACAAACCACCTGGACAGAAAGAGGAAATAGGGGAGGAGTTGTGAATCATCATAAGCCTGTCACAGAGGTATGCTACAGCAATGATGGGAGGCTTCAATTGTGAGGTAGCTAGGTGGTGAAGTGGATGGAGTGTTGGGCTGGCCTTTGTAGTTATATGTCTCTGGGCAAGTCACTTAACCTTGGCTTGGGTCAGTTTCTTTATCCATAAAATGGGGATAACAATAGCACCTACGTACAGGGTCCAAATGAGATAATTATAAAGTGCTTAGTATAGAGCCTGACCCATGGTAAATAGCACTATGTAAGTGCTAGTTATTATTGTTGTTGTTGTTGTTCAGACATCTGTTGGAACTCATTGTCTCTGCCAAAGCAAAGTAGCTAATAACTTCTCGACTTGCCTTAGTGATCATTTCGTCCCTCAAAGGTAGAGAGAGGAACCAATGAGGGAAACATTTGTTTGTTTGTTTGCTTTTCTGGATCTGATCCTCACCAACAGGAAGGAACTGACTGCTGGGGTGGAAATGATGGGAATCCTGGGAAGGCAGTGATGCCGACTCCATGCTAATATTTGTGAAAGAGAGGGAATCTAGGCATAGTCTGACAAGCATCCTAGATTTCAGTAAAGCAAATTTTGAAAGGTTCGGGAGAAAAATAGGAAAGAGCCCATGGAGCAAAATGCCAAATGGAAAGTCTGCCCAAGAGGGATGGGAGAGTGAAATCCAGAAGAAATAAAGGGAAACAATTCCTATAAATGGGATTTGTTTAAACTAAAGTGACCAACATGGATACACAGGGAACTCACAACCACTACAGATTTTCAAGAGAAATGTACAGAAGCAAGTCAGGTAGCAGAGGATGAACATGAGGGAAAGGTGCAGTCCTGTAAGAATACTGTCAGGAACTCTAAAGCTCAGGGTGACTGAGCTCAGTGAGGGAAACTAAGGACAACAAAAAAGAGATTTTTTTAAAGCTGTACTTAGAGAAAGAGGAGGATTAAAGAAGAGATAGGACCTTTCTTGGGGGGGGGAGGGTCTAGGGGAAAATGATACCTGACAACAAAAAGAAGAAAGAACTACCCAATTCTTATCTTGATTCTGGGTTTTTTTTTCTGCAAAGGGTTTTTTTTTCATTTTTTCTCATTTTATTCTTGTAGAGAAGATAGAGAAAAATGGGTTAGATGATAGATAATATAATCCAAAGGATTCAGAACTGGTTGGATGTTCAGATTGAGAGTAGTTTTTCATGGTTTAAAGCCAATGTGGCAGGAAGTCTTCAGCAGAATACGCCAGGGATCTGTGCTTTGAGAGGTCTGATATTTTTATTAATGACTTGGATAAAGATATAGATAGTATCCTCACCAAATTTATAGGTTGCACAAAGCTAGGATGGATGGCCAATGTACTGGAAGACATAGTCGGAAAGCAAAAAAAAAAAATCTTGACAGTTCAGAATATTGGGCCAAATCAAATAAAGATGCCATTGAGTTATCTTTATTCACTCCTGTTTATTCACACAATCTATGGTTTCAGCGGGAACAAATTCACAAGGATAAGATGGAAAAGGCATATTAGACAGTACCTGTCCTAAAAAAGATCTGCAGGTTTTAGTGGACTGCAAGCTCAACGGGAGTCATTAGTGTGAGTCATCAGCCAGGAAAACTCATTTTATCTCAGACTGCATTGAGAGAGGCACAGCTTCTAGGAACAGAGAAGTAGTTGAGTCAAGTCAAGTCAATGAGCATTTATGGTACTGATTGCCAGAAATACAAACAAAGGTGAAAAAAGGCAGTCTGGGCTCTCAAGAAACCCACAGTCTAAAGGACTGCCTCACCATACTCTGCCCTCCTCAGATCTCTCCTGGAGTGCTGTGTTCAGGTCTGGGCACCAGAAGGACTGGGAAGCATTCAGAGGAAGGAAATCAAGATGGCGGATATCCTATGAGATAAGTTGGAGTAACTGAACGTGAAAAGAGGACTGGAGAGGTGATGGTGGAGGTGATGAAGGATACAATGACCTATTTCAAGTATTTGAAAGGCTACCTGGTAGAAGAGATATTAGATTCATCCTGTTTGACCCCATGAGGCAGAATCAGAAGCAACTGAATGGGCAGAAGTCACAAAGACAAACATTTTGGTTGGATGTCAGGAAAAGCTCCCCAACAAATAAATCTATCCAAAAGTGAAATGGTCTTTGGAAAGGAAGTGCTTCCCTCTACTTGGATGACTTCAAGCAGAGGCTGAATGGACCCTTTTTGAGTATTTTGTGTATAAGCTGAGCTATGTAGCTACTGAGGTCTCTCCCATTGCTCAGATTCACAATTCTTACTGCCTTCTCTTCTATATTTCTTTCATTCATATGTAGTCAGATGATGCCAAGGTGGTAGAAAGGGGGCAGGAAGATAGTTAGGGTCCTTTAAGTTGTCCTTTGCTATTTCTGGGCCAACTACATAAAAAGCCAGTCATAAACTTTCCAAGTGGACTTTGTCATGTGTAGGTGTGCCTCTCCTTTCGAAATGAACTCAGTCTCTCACATTAGCAAAAGAACTAATGGTCAATGTTAGTGGTGTCATTTGTCAAATCATATTCTGCTTTGTTTTATTTCCACAAGTTTCCTAATGTAAAAAAGAAAAGGAACAGATTTTAACCCTTCAGGTTTTTTTTTTCATAAGATCAACACTTCATTCATCTATTTTCCCACTAAAGGGAATATCTATCTTACTATCTACCCTGAACAGATCAAGGGAGACTTCGTTGAAATAAAGTTGGCATTTAAATTAAAATATTTCCCCAAGCATCTTGGCAGACCTGTAACTAATGATGCCAGAAGCCAGAGGGCTGTGCCAGATTCCTTTGATTATTCCCCATAAGTGCTTGTCTCCTACATCTCTCTGGTCAGAATCCTGCTGATGT